CAGTGTTAAGAACATCGCACAAATAACGAGTAGGCAGTAAACAAACAATGTTAGGCGGCAAATTATCAAGATAATTACACAATTCGTATAATCTTTCATCGAAAGACTGACCTTTCAATGATATTCTTCTTTTCTCGAGAATCTCAGAATCAGAAGTTGTCAATAAACCAACACGAACTCTCGAGAGTAATTCACGATAAGCTGTATCTCTTTGCTGACGCATATTGATCGTCAATTCATCATATTGAAATTTTTGCCACAACCATTCCTCAGAAGTAGTCCCCACACTGCCAATATATTTATTAAATTCTGCTTTTGATAGTGGAACAAAGATAAAATTTTCACGTACAGGAGGTAATTGAAGCAGATCTCCAAATAAAAAAACATGCTTTCCACCAAAGAAATCGTCATCCATGGTATCAAATATTTGACATAGTCGTAAATGTATATACATGAAAGTTAAATTAGATATCATTGACACTTCATCAATTATAATAAGACTAACCATCTTTAAGATCTGCCCGTAAAACTTTCAAAACGTAATCAGATAATAGTGTATACTTAGGAGACTGATCACCATGTTCAACAGATAACTGCCATTGCCTGTGATTTGTTAAACCATCGATATTAAACGCCGCTATACCGGTAGGTGCTGTTACCAGCAGTATCCTTGTGGAGATTTTGTTTTATCCAGCATTTAATTGTTTTAATTAAAAAACTTTTACCAGTACCTCCTTCTCCGCTAACGTATAATAGTAATTGTTTAAATTGTTCGTTATCCGGCGATATCTTTACGGCGTTGATGACTCTGTCAAATATTCTTCTTTGATCTGCGTTCAGATTTGAAATCATTTCAGATACATCGATTTCCTGATTTAATTTGTCACCAAGATCCTTAAAATCTTGCATCGCTTCACCAGCCTCAATATTTTGAACACCTATTGGATTATCGGGATCATCTTGAGACTCATGCTGTTTTCCCAAATTATCTAAATATTGTTCAACTAATTGCTTCGCAGTTTCAAATGCTTTTTCCACTTCGTCTAATTTTTCATGATATTGCAGTGCTTCCGTAAGATATAACTTTTCCTTGTGAAATGCTTCTGTATATGTATCACATCCGTCTTTAAGATCTTCTATTTTCCGCCACGGTTTAAACATGAGCAGTAATGAAAAGAAATAATTTTCCGGCTGCGTATTG